GAGAGAGAGAGAGAGAGAGAGAGAGAGAGAGAGAGAGAGAGAGAGAGAGAGAGACGGAAAAAGAGGAGGAAGCGAGGGAGACAGAGACACAGGCAAGCTTCCTCCTTTTTTTTCCTTTTTTTTTGTTTTCCAAGATATGCGCGCCATAGCTACACGGCGCACCCTTATCTCGGCTCGTGCCACTGGCGATGACAGAGTCTTGACGACACTCTCCCTCTGCCACACACCCACGCGCATGCACACACATACTTTTGCCCACATACTCTCTGTCACACCCACGCATGCGCACGCACACACAGACTCTTGCTCGCTCGCTCGCTCTGACACACACGCACACACACAGACAAACAGACAAACTTTGTACCATCTATATGTCTGTGTGTGTATGTGTATGTGTGTGTGTGTGTGTGAGAGAGAGAGAGAGAGAGACACAGAGAGAGAGAGAGAGAGAGAGAGAGAGAGAGAGAGAGAGAGAGAGAGAGAGAGACAGACAGACAGGCATAAAGAGGGCAGCGTCACACCACACCCGAAATGTGCAAAATGAGAATGAACGTCCCTCTAGAACATGGCCAAATGTGCCCGCCACGTTTTCTCACATTTCGACAGTGGTGTGGTGATGCCCACGGACCGGCCGCACCGAGGACCGAGCCCCAAACACTGGTGTGCCTGCATCTGGCCGTGTTCTAGCGGAAAGTTCGTTCCGACCCAAAAAAAATGCAAAAAAATTATCTTTTTTGTCGTTTGTTTTTTTTTTGTCTTTTTTTTGGACCGATGCAAAACAATGCAAATTCACGGAAAAAAACGGAAAGTCTTTTTTTGTTTCAGAAACAAAACGAAAAAAAATAAAATAAAAAAAGAAAACAAAACGACACGCGAGAACAAAAAATAAAAATATAATTAAAAAAAGAAAAGATAAAAGATTATTAAAAAAAAAAAAACAATACGAAACAAAACGACAAATTCTATTTTGTTCTTAGAATACGAAACATAAAAACAAAAAACAAAAAACAAAAAAGGGGGTCGGGCACAAACCGACACGAAAATGTTATCCGACGGCGGACGCGTCGAGATATTCATCCGCATCATTGCTTGCCGTGCACCCGGCCCCGTGGGTGCGCTCTCTCGTTTAGTGGGGCACTGTGAACAATTCGGTACGCGCGCTACTCTTCACACCCACCCGCCCTCGATCGCCTTCATCCGCCAGCCCGCACCGAAACTTCGACCCGATTCTGTGCAGCGGACCATCGACCTCACCCCCGCGGCCAACGCGCCTTAAGGGATATATATATATATATATACAGGGTAACCGGCGTTCGGGACGGGCCGAACGCCCGAACGTGTCGGACCCCTTGGGGATGCGTTCGGCCGTTCCGGCCGAACGCGGACCCAAAAAAAAAAAACAACGTCATCAAAACAATCTGAAAAAAAGATATGTTTTGGAGAAAACTAAATTAAACAAGATTTGCCTGAGCATTACATCCGAATTCCTTACCAAATTTGAAATAAAAATAAAATATGGAAAATAAATACTCATAATAAAAATAAATAAAAATAAAAAGAGAATTAAATTTAGTGAGTGCGCGAGCATGTTTTCGACACCGCCATCTTTGGCGATTTTTCAATTTTTTTTGGCATAGCTAAATGCCCTGAAATTTACAGATGTGTACTTCACATAATACAAAACCCACTAAAAAAGTTTCAAAAAATAATAAAATTGTTTAGACCCCGAACTAAAGTGAAAACAAAAA